TTTTTTTTTGAGATGGGAGTCCCGCTCTGTCGCCCAGGCTGGAGTGCAGTGGCGCGATCTCGACTCACTGCAAGCTCTGCCTCCTGTGTTCACTCCATTCCCCTGCCTCAGCCTCCCGAGTAGCTGGGACTACAGGTGCCTGCCACCACGCCCGGCTAATTTTTTGTATTTTTTTTTTTTAGTAGAGACGGGGTTTTACTGTGCTAGCCAGGATGGTCTCGATCTCCTGACCTCGTGATCCACCTGCCTCGGCCTGCCAAAGTGCTGGGATTACAGGCGAGACCCACTGTGCCCGGCCGGGACTTTTTTTTTGGCGAGGGAGGGAGTCTTGCTGTGTCGCGCAGGCTGGAGTGCAGTGGCACGATCTCGGCTCACTGGAAGCTCCGCCTCCCGTGTTCACGCCATTTTGCTTGGCTCAGCCTCCCCAGCAGTTGGGACTACAGGCGCATGCCGCCATGCCCGGCTAATATTTTTTGTATTTTCAGTAGAGAGGGGGTTTCACGTCTGTAAACCCAACGTGTTAGCCAGGATGGTCTCGATCTCCTGATCTCGTGATCCGCCCGCCTAGGCCTCCCAAAGTGCTGGGATTACAGGCGTGAGCCACCGCAACCGGCCCCAGCCGGGACTTCTTAAAAGAAAACTGGAAAGTCCTATCCCATTTGGTTTCCGGACAAGAGAGAACAGTGCCACAGTGGGTATTGGGGACCCGGGTCCCAGGATTGGGGTGATGGGGAGATAGGACACAGGTGGGCTGAGGCTTGCACCTGTGGACCCAGGTGGTCCTCCCAAGATGTGATCGCTCCATGACTGCTGGGGTCCAGCCCCCTGCACTTTGGAGGGGGGGGCAAGGGATGGGAACACAGCACAGGCTGGCTCATGGCGCCTTCTTTATTGTCCACCCCAATCCCCCTTCCCTGCAGCCCCCTCCAAATGACAAAACTACCCTCATCCCATGGGCCACCCCGAAAGCGGCAGGGTTCAGAGCTGCGAGAACACTGGAAGCTCCCCCTCTGAAAGCAGCGGCGACACCTTGGGTGCAAGCGGGGCCGGATCTGGGTGGGGCAGAGGAGGGGGGCGCCTGAGCCTCAGCGCCTTGGGCCCCCGCCCCCCTCTCCACCCGCGCATTCCTCGGCCTTACCCGCGGGGGCGTCGGGGCGCGGTGGCCCGGGCGCGGGGGCCGCGGGGGCGCCGGGGCGGTGGTCCTCCAGGTGCAGGGTCATGGCGGACCGCGAGGCCGTGGAGAAGGCGCACTGCATGCACGAGTAGCGGCCGCGCGTGTGCTCCCACACGATGCGGCTCGGGGCCGCGTGCCCTGCGGGCAGGCGGGACCCGGTCAGTCCCGGGCTCCCCCAACCCAGAAGACCCGTGCGCCAAGGATGGAAGACGCCGGCGAGGGTGGGTGGGACCTTTTCCCACCCCCCATCAGCTTCCGGGCGCCTGGTTCAGTTTCACCCGGGTCTGTCTGCCCCCAGAGTTGGGGGCACCCAACTTGGCTTTTCCGCGTCCCCTACTACCATCCCCAGATCCACCGCCGGGGAGAAGCCCGCTCCGAGGTGAACGGTGAAAGGGGCGCAAGGTTTACACGGGAACGCCGCCGCAGATGAAGGCGCAGGTGCCAGTCATTTTTAAGGCAAAAATCCTGTATTTCGGGACGGTGGCATTTGTGGCCCCCTGGGAAAGGGATAGGCACTGTTCCCTCCTGGTATCCACCGGACCCCGCAGGACGCAGGAAAGCCCCTCCACCCCTCCCTGGTGGTCACCTGCACGCACCTGAGGGCGCGCTGGAGCCGCCCTGGGGTCTTCGGGGGCTGCTGCCAGCACCTGCGGTAAAGCGGCGGGTCAAGTTCAGAGTCGGGGCGAGGCCAGCTCACCCTCCTGGTGACCCCCACCCCCATACTCACCTTGGCTCTTTTTCCAGACGGCGGCGCTGGAAGCCGGCGGCCCGGGTGCAGCGGCCAGGAAGGGGCACAGGCGCGGGGGGCTTAGGCCAAAGGGCGCAGGGATCAAGTAGGGCACGAACGGTCCGGTGGCGGCAGGGGCGGGGGTCGTGAAAGGTTCCAGCAGGGGGAACGGCAGGCCCGGCGCTGACGCGAGGTCAACCTCCGGGGGACGCTCGGGCGCGGGCGGCTCTCGGTCCAGGGCCGGGGGTGGTGGCGGGGCTGGGCTCTGCGCATTCTCCACGCAAACATGTAGATGCTTGAAGAGCGAGCGGTGCGTGCGGAAGCGCAGGAGGCAGTTCTCACACCTGGGGGTGGGCAGAGGGCTGGGCTAGGCCTCCAGGGAGACCAGAGAGAGGGTTCTGTGCAATGCCACCCGCCCTTCGAGCGTGGGAACGGAGCCTGGGCACCAATCGCCTCCCCGCTCCCGTACAAGCGTGGCAGCGACCCTTCCTGCCCACTACAGGTGCTGGTTTCCTGGGGAAACCCGGAAAGAAGTCTCAATTTTAAGTTAGGAGGCCGGTTTTCCACTTGGGAGGTAACGCCTCGCGGGGTGGAGCCACGCCCACTTATGCCCCGCCCCATCCAGCGATGTAGGGGCGGGGCTTCCCCAAAAGGCCACCCACATCAAATCCCGCCCTCCAACACCCTGACCAGGAAGGGAGGAAGGCCTGGAGCCCACACACAGGGTGAGGCTAGGACAGGACGGAGCTCAAGAGGTCAGGGTCTCACTTGAAGTAGCGATTGGGCTTGTAGTGCAGTTTGCTGTGAGCCACCAGCTCCTGCATGCTGGGGAAGGTCTCGGTGCAGCTCAGGGCTGAGCAGCGGAAGAGCTTGCCTGGTAAGGATGAAGACAGAGGAGTGGAAAGGGGTGGTCAAGGCTGGCTCCGAGGGGCTCCACCTGTTTCCCACCCTAACCTGCCTCCCCATTACCGGTCCTGGCCCTACCTTCCAGGGACTGTGTGGGCGGACAGTGGGTCCGAAGATGCTGTGCCAGGTCGCGGACGCTGGGAAAACTGAGGGAGCAGCCAGGGCTGGAGCAAGGGATTTGCTTCCCTGCAGGACGCACAGAACAGGGGTCACTGGTCCCTTCCTCACTAGTGCTGTCCCTGACCCCAGGGCTCTGCCCCAGAGAAGCAAATATGATGCTGGGGCCTCTACTCTCTGCCTACCACAAACAACAAACTTGAGCTGCCACAGTGCAGGGGCTGGATTGGCCAGGCTCACCATTGGAGCCACAGCCTGGCATCCACTGGCAGCACAGTAAAATGATGAGTGGCATCCCTCTAGAAAGGCCCTTAGGTTAGAGATTCTCTACTTCTTGCTTCTATTGTTCCAGGGCCCGTGACTCCCCCGAAGGTCCCATCACAGATCACCTGGAGGTGGGCGTCGTCTGGGAGGCCGCAGGTCCTCGCTGGTCCCGGAGACTATGCTGGTCGGGCCAGGGCTGGGTCCGGGGCCAGGCTGGCAGCTGTCTGGGGCTGGGGAGGAGCCCTGCTGCATCCCTCCAAGCCCTCCACGTTCCCACACTGGTGGTGTGGCTGCCTGCTCAGGGCCCGGCTCCTCCGCCATGGAGGAGGAGGTGGCGGCAGATGGCACAGCCGGGGACAACAACTCCTTGTCGGTCTCACTGGAGCTGGGCTCTGCAGTGGCCGGCATGTCTGGGCTGGGTCCTGAGGGTTTCTCCTCCTGGTGGAAGGAAGAGGCAGAGATAACCCTTCTGGGCTCTGGGTCAACCCAGTCAGCCCCCATCCTAAGGAATCACCAGCAGGAGAGGATAGGGGAATACGTAAGGTTGGACTAAGCTCCTTTTTCCTTTTTATAAAGATGGGGGTTTCGCCATGTCCCCCTCGCTGGTCTTGAACCCTTGGTCTTAAGTGATCCTCCTGCCTCAGCGTCCCAAAGTGCTGGGATTAAAGGCGTCAGCCACTGCACTGGCCCAGATTGAGCTTCTTATGTACATGGGAGAAGCATCTCCTCAACTAGGATAAGTGGGAGCCCCAGTATGCGACACAAGCGTGGCCTACAGGGAGTGGGCGGGGCCAAGAATACGGAGGCGGGGCTATGGGCAGGGAGCGACTGGGAAGATGCTAGAGGAGCTACACACGGATTGTCTGAGGACCGAGAAACACTGGCCCGCTGCGAGCCGTGTGGACAATCTTGGAGGTGCTAGGAACCCGGATGTAATAAGTTTTGAGGCGGAGTCCTAGCCTGGTGGGCGTGGTCCATTCCGGGCCCGGCCCGGAAGTAGGGCGCTCTCCGAGTGACAGCCAGCGGCAGACGGGTGCCCGGATGTGGGGGCTGGGTCGGCCGGAGGAT